GAAGGTGCTCAGCTCTCTCACCCCCAGGACCAGCAATGTCACTGCAGCTGCCTCACACTGGTCTCCTGGTGCCCACCATTCAGACTGCTGCCACCATTTCTTTGCCACTGAGCTCTGCTGTGTTTACCATCATTTCTCACCATCTTCAGTGTTACCGTCCTCTCTTTCCTGAGTTTAGGTGGTTCTCAGGGCAGGAATCCCTGGTCCAAAGGATGAACCCCACTCCAGGCTCTCCTTGAATTGGCCCTTTTATTCAATTTCAAGGCATGGCTCTCCCAGCCAGACCACTATCTGACCAAGTCCCTTGGTAGACCCTAGTCACTCAATTTGCATAGTAATTGTTGGCCAATTCCCACAAGGTCCCTTAATCCTAGTAGTTGGTTTTCAATACTGTGTTTGCATTGTAAACTAATCAGTGCCTTGCAAGATTATTGCCCAGCCAATCATTTTGGCAGAATTATAAACCCGAGGCCAGAAAGACCATATATAAGAGAATCCATTGCACTATACCGATCCAGTGGACCCGAGGCAAGTAAGCGCCTGACACTCAGCAGCAGAGTTTTACACATAGAATTGTTGTTTAACCTTTACAATTTCTCCTTGAGAAAGATGGGGAATAATATTTGGGAATAAGATCAACATTTGATAATATTATTATATTCCCATTTTGAAAATAAGACTCAGAAGGTTAGTGACCTGTCCAAGGTCATAGTCATTGTAAGAAATTTGGAAACCACAGATAAAGAGGATGTAAAAATTATCCATAATTACACCCCCTAGAGATAACTAACATGTTAGAGAATATCCTAGAGTTTTTTCCTAAATATTTTTAAAACATTTAGAGGTATTTTAACTTTTTTTGTACCTACTTTTTAGACATTGTGGATTTCAGTTTCTTACAATGAATAACAATCCTACATATACTGAGCAATCTTAGGACCTTTACAACGTGAATCATATCCTAGAAGTGGAGTGGTAGGCTCGAGGAGAATGCATAGTGTTCAGGCCTTTGATAGATTGTCTGATTAGGCAGCCACTTTTATTTGCTGTCGACTTTACGTCTGTTGTTGGTTTGTGACTTTGGAGAGACCCAGGTGTGACAGAGTAGAACTGCTCCAAACGGTTTTCTTGGCTGTAATCTTTACTGTACTGCCAGGTGGGTTTGAACCGCCAACCTTTTGGTTACCAGATGAACGCTAACTGTTTGTACCACCAGGGATTGTAGGAGCCACTTTTTAAAGAATTTGCTATTGTGAAGTGCCATCCAGTCAGTTCCAACCCATAGCAACCCTGTATAGGGTTTCCAAGGAGCAGCTGGTAAGCTTGAACCGGCGACCTTGTGGTTCAAATCAACTTTACAGTCTAGTGCATTAGCCCACAGCGCCACACCAGGACTCCTTTTAAGGAACAATAGCTAACAATTTTAAAGCATACACCAGGTACCATTTCCAATACTGTATGTTTATGAAGTACAAGCAGCAGTGAAGAAATCAAATGACATATTGCATTGGGTATATCTGCAAAAAACTTCTTTAAAGTGTTAAAGAGCAAAGATGTCTGTAAAAAATGGCACCAAGCCTCCTCCCACAACACTCTGTGGCTGGATTCAGTGATTCCTGGCAATGGCCACACAGAACTCAGACACCATGCTCACAGTTACAGGGTTTATTGGGAAAGCGTACGATGCAGGATCGAAATGTTCAGGATACAGTTCTTCCTATCAGGATAGCCTCTTTCCAGGCATGCCTGCAAGCAGGTCTCTCTCTAGCCTTTAGCCTTTCAGCCATGCAGCCTCTTGGCCTCTGCCCTGCTCCAACAATCTTACAAAACTCTTTCAGGTATGCTGATAAATGCTCCAAGGAGACAGAACTCCACAGGCTCTAGCTCCGGAGGTCAGCAAACCTGGCTCCTCGCACTCTGCGAGCAAGCCCCCTGCCCAAAGTCACTCAGCTGTACTTGCTCCTTTGACCAGGAAATCCACTGCTCTGTCTCATGCTCTGACACTTGGTTCTGCTGCTGCCAGTCCTCTGATATCACATCTCTGTCTCCTGGATCAAGAGGTTTGACATGCTCCACTCCTGGCTCCTTCTTCATGATGGTGGTAGTGGTGATATGCCATGGAGTCGATCCTGACTCATAGCTACCCTGTGTAGAGTTTCCAGTTTCTGTGGCTGTAAATCCTTATGGAAGCAGAAAACCTCAGCTTTCTCCCACAGAACCACTGGTAGTTTTAAACTGCTGACCATGAGATTAGCAGACCAACCACAACCACTATGCTACCAGAGCTCCTTTCATGATGGTAGTAAGATCCCCCGTTCCTGCTTCTGAGATGACTCATTTTATATAATTATAATTCATCTTGCTAACAAACTGCATCATACAGTCCTGTCAGCATCTTCTCCCACCTCCTCTTACCCACACTCATCATTGTTTGGTGGAAATTACAACGGTGGGTAGAAGAGTCATGTGAAGTAATTCACTATACTGCAATGTCAGTGGGAGAACTAAGGTATACCTGACCCAGTCCTGGTATTTCCAGTCACCTCATGCATGTGAAAGCTGGACAAGGAGTAAAGAGGACCAGAGAATCAATGCATTTTAAAATATGGTCTTGGAGAAGAATACTAAAAGTACCATGGACGGCCACAAGAACAAACAAATCATGGAAGAAATACAGCCAGGACGCCCCTTAGAAGCCAAGATGGCAAAACTGCATCTCTATACTTTGGACATGTTAGCAGAAGGACCCTGTCTCTGGAATGACATCATGCCTGATTGAGAATCGGTGAGAAAGAGAAAAACCCCAAGGAGACGGACTGCAATAATGGACTCAAACATAACAATGTGGGGGGGGGCCCAGGACCAGGCAGTGTTTCCTTTGGTTGTACATAGGGTGGCTATGAGTCGGAACCAACAGACAGAGATGTGACATCACATAAGAGATACAAGGAGCCCTGGTGGTGCAGTGGTTAAGTGTTCACCTGATAACTAAAAGGTCTTTGGTTTGAACCCACCAGCTGCTGTGAAGGAGAAAGGTGAAGCAGTCTGCTTCTATAAAAATTTTACAACCTTGGATAGGGTCGATATAAGTTGGAATCAACTAGACCGTAATGAATGTAGTTTTTGGTTTGTTGTTGTCAAGTGCCATAGAGTCGGTTCTGATCCATAGCGACCCTGTATAGGGTTTCCAAGGAGCAGCTGGTGAGCTTGAACTGCCAACCTTGCAGTTCAAACGGCTTTGCAGTCTGACACATTAACCCACACCCCTACACCAGGACTCCTAAGGGGCCTATAAATAGGTGCTATCGCCATTCCTATTTTACAAATTAGGAAAACTGAGGCCCAAAGAGGTTAAGAAACTTAACCTCTTTATACACCCAATAAATGGTAAAACCAGGTGATAAATCTAGCTTTTGAGTTCAGACTCTTAATCTCACTCTATTAGACTGCTTTTTTGGTTGAATCACAGTGTTGTGTCAGAAAGAACTCTCGAAGTTTCTTGCCAGTGGCAAGAGTGTCAGCTCAAGCCCAAATCACTGTGACCCCCAAGTGAGGAGGGGAACAGTTTTATACAAGAAACATAGAGCGGTTAGAACACACAGACTTGTCTTGTCAGCTGGGGTGGTAAGTTCTAGCAGACCCTTATCCTGTAAGTGGGAATAAACCCACCAATAAACCCTTATCTTGGTTGTATGGATGGGCTAAGTTTTATCCTGTTTGTTCAGGTGTCCTTGGGTCATTCTGGCCTTCAAGGTTTTCCTGTAAGAAGTTTCTTATTTTTCCATAGGGTGAGGTGGGGGGAAAGGGGAGCAGGGTAAACTATGCTATAATATTTCAAATGGGGGCTGTTAATTATACTTTAATATTTCAAATGGGGTGAGTTATTCATAATTTGTGGCTGGGTGTGTTCTGTGAGTGTTTGGTTTTTTTTTCCTTGTGAAGAGGGATTTTTATGAATCCAGCTCTGCTCTGGAGTCCTGGTGTGGTGCTGTGGGTTAATGCACTGGACTGCAAAGTCTATTTGAACTGCGAGGTCGGCGGCTCAAGCTCACCAGTCACTCTTTGGAAACAGGGTCACTGTAGGTTGGAACTGACTCCACTCACCATGCTCTGACCTTAGCACTTTTCCTGGAAGCCAATGGCCTACCTTGTGTATTAATAATGGCCCTAAGACAACATCTTTATAAAAGAATTCATTACTGAGTATTTAGCTTGTTGCCCTGAAGGGTTTAAACCTTAAGGCTCATCAATACCAGCTGCTCCTCAGAAACTCTATACAGGGTCGAAGGCACTTAATAACAACAACGAGATAGAACCAACTCAACAGCACCTAACAAGATCAATTTCATTGGAAACCCAAACTCCTGTCACATCACAGACTCCATCCTCCAAAAGCAATTCAGCCAAGGCTGCATCTTCTCTTACTCCCCACCCTTCTTCTCTATGGCCCCTAAGAAGACAGGTCCATGGGAGGCAAGCGGGGAGATGAAGCATGTACAGATATTGACACTGAGGATGATGAGGGACAAGGAACCTGTCCTATTGGTGCCCATTCTTGACAACATACACCCTCTGAGCCAGGCTTCCCCGCACATAGATCCAGAGGCAGGTGATAAAGGCATGGAGCATGGAGCTACCTGGCTAAGACGATACGGCTCTGCTTTTTTCATTACAAGCTGAATGGTTTCTCTTGGAAAAGGCCCCAGCCTATGGATCTTCTCTTTTGAGATATTCCCATAGTGTCCACCCCTTGGGCACAGCCCCTCCTAGTCCCAGGAAGACTGGTAGCTGGCCAGTGTAGAAGCAGACTCTGCTAAAGCTCTTGGCAGAGAAGTTGTTGTTAAGTGCCGTCGAGTCGTTTCCCGCCCAAAGCGACCCTGTGTAAAGTTTCCAAGGAGCAGCTGGTGAGCTTGAACCACTGACCTTGCAGTTCAAACGACTTTGCAGTCTGATGCATTAGCCCACAGCGCCACCCCAGTACTCCTGGCAGAGAAGAGAAGATGGCATTTCTGGATGACAAGCTCTGTACCAAGGTACTAAGTGCTTTGTATATTCCCTCCTATGTTTCTACCCAGTAGGCTTGTAATTGGGTTTGTTTCCTTTATTTACAAACAAAGAAGCTGAGTGTCAGGTGGAGTAAGTTACTTGGCCTCACCGGACTAGGAAGTGGCAGAGTGAAACTTGAGCCCTGTTCTCACTCTACAGTGCAGACTCCTAGCCTTCCACAGCTGCCAGCTGGCCTGAGTCCCAGCCCTCACTGCCCTCCTCGTATTCCTTCCCAGATTAACGGGCACAGTCTGGGCGCTGATGCCCAAAGTGGAGAACCCCTCCGAGGAGACCTGCAGGAATTTCTGGGTGGGGAGATCCTTCTGCATCAGCTGGATGACCTCACCAAAGTGAATCCCGTGACGTTGGAGACAGGTATGGGCCTTCCTCTCCCCAGGAGTGTTGGCTCCAAGTGGGTGGAGGTGTGATGAGAATATTTGGCCTATCTTCACTGGGTGCAGACTGAGGCAGGCGGGACTCCTGGAGCCAGGTGGGTTGTTCTATCCTCGGGCCCAGGGGAGCTTGGCAGCTCTACCTGGGCTCCCCAGGGCAGACTGCTTTCAATTTGGGGCTCATCTTAATTAGATCTTGTACCTATTCATCAGGGAACTGCTGGGATCTAATGGCACTTAGCTAATTGTAGAGAGAAGGCAGGTGTGTGTCTGTATGAGGTTGTGTCTACATTTAAGCCAGATTTCACTAATGGTGCCTGTGCCTCAGTCTTGAGGTGCCTGCAGGCTCGGTACTCAACAGACATCTTCTACACCAATGCTGGCTGCACCCTAGTGGCACTGAACCCCTTCAAGCCGGTCCCTCAACTCTATTCACCAGAGCTGATGAAAGAGTACCACACTGCGCCTCAGCCCCAGGTAAAGTTCAGCCTGCTTTGTGTGGCCTCAGGGCTCCCCACCCTCTCTCTTGGACTCCCGGAAGCTCTCCCATCCCTATAGTAGGTTCATCGGCCATGCAAAGGCTCATGGTCTCCTAGTGGTCTGGGCTTCAGGAAGGCAGAGAGAAAGGTACCAACAAGAACTTACAGAGTTTTAGGCAGATTGATAACTGACTACAGGAACAGTGGGGGCAAAGAAATACTGGTTTAATGGAACTTGGAACCTAAAATAGGGACAGACGATGAAGGATTTTTATGTACTTGTTTGTGGTTTATTAATAGGAAAGGATTTATGAAGGTATATATTTGTGTATTTCGCACACCACCTTTTTGGAAAAGAAATTACATGCGACAAGGATTTGTCCTAGAAAATTCAGCACATGTTCTACTGAAAGGAATGGATTCCTTTAGAGGTGGGTGGTGGGGCAGGCTGGGAAAGGGCTTACTGGTGCTGAAGCACATATGTATTCATGGAAAAGCAAGCGGGACCTTGTGGAGGAGAGCTGTGGGAAGTGGGCAACAGATACGAAGAGAAAGAAGAGATGAACTAAGGCAGCAGACAGGGTGAAGGTAGGAGTGTGACCCGCACCTGCTATGACAGGGGAGTTGGCTCCAGAAGGTGAGACAGGAGGCAGTGAGAAGAGTTGGGGGCTTTGTAATTCTCCAGGTAGAGGTGGCATGGGTAAGCACAGATGCAAAGGGTACTTTCTTGCCTCAGGAGGCTGTGAGTGAGGGATCAGTGCTGCTGGGGCTGGGGCTGGGCCAGGCTAGGCCTCCTGAAGTGGACAGATCTTCCAGACACTCACGTTTGGCTAAATGTCCTTGTAGCTCGCCAGCTACGATGTGTTCCCTGCTAGATGTGTCCTCAAAGACAAACACCATGTCATCATCCCTGTTTCCCTAGTGCCTGGCATGGTGCCCAGCACACTGAGGACAATTAATGAGTATTTCTTGAAGGAAGGAAGAACAGTGAGCTTACATTTCAAATTACATCGATCCACTTAGTTACTGAGGGTCTTGGGGAAGATTATTTAACTCAGATTTCTCTGTAAAAAAAGCGTTTGCCATCCAACTAATGCACACACTTAAAAAAGTTCTTTGCAAACTGCAAAGTATCATAACAAAATATAATGAACCACAGAATTAAACAAACAAGATGAAGTAAGGCAGGCACATTTAGAACAAACATGTTAATGTTCTAGACTGATCCAGGCCAGGATGCTTTCAGACTGAGAGAAGATGAGTGGGTGAAGCTACGAGGGGTTCCCACCATAGGGCATATGTTAAGGGGTTTGTCTGGAGGAAGCATCCTAGCACTGTTCTTGGCAGCCTCCCCTCCTCAGCTACCCTTGGATGAGCCACTCTTTGAAGAAGAGAGGTGTGCACTACTCACCTGACCTTTCACCCTGTGATGTTTCAGAATCTGAAGCCCCACATCTTCGCTGTGGGTGAACAGACCTACAGGAATGTCAAGAGCCTGATTGAGCCCGTGAACCAGTCTATTATTGTCAGTGGAGAGAGCGGAGCTGGAAAGGTAGGTGGGCCTCCCCCTCACCGCTTCAGCATCCTGACTGGCTGGGTTTGCTGCAGGTCAGTGTGCTTGGGGGGCAGACCTTGGGTAAAAGACAAGAGTTCTAGACCAGGCTCTGCTGTAACTCTGGACTATAATTTTTTCAATGAAAGTCGAACAAGCTCCGGTGCCACTGAAAGGAAAGGCCAGCTGCTGGGGACAGCAGAGTAGCGGTCAGAGTGCATTGGAAACAGTATTCAGATTCCTGAGACCTCACTTCTCTCACCTGCAAAATGGTCCAGTGAGGACCAACCAGTGTCAGATTTCCCGATTAGTAAAGTAACCAGGGCTGATGAGTAATCTGTCACAAACAATTTTGTCGTTTTCACCACATCACAGGTTCTCCTTTGAGATATGGCTGATGTCTGTCTCTCTCCCAACCCTACAGTATCCGCCTATAGAACCAAAGCCTCTTTTCAATTTGACAATCCCTAACAAATGGAGTACCCGGTCAGCAAGATTAACATGGGGTTACCTGTGTTTACTTACTAATCTGTTCATGTGAAAATGTTCACTGCAGATTAGTAAATGAGCACAAGGTAAGCACAGACATACCTTGCTTGTTGGGTAATCCACACCCCATTTGTGGGACAGCTGTGGGGGTTTACAAGAGCCCTTGGCAGTGCTCCTCTAACAGTAGCTGGGGTTACTTGTGGAAAGGGTTTATTAGAGTCGTCTGCTCTATGCCCTGGGGGCTACCAAAGCTGGCAAGGGTAGTGAATAAGGCCAGCTGGGAGGGCATGTCACTCCTGGGTGGCAGAACCACAGAGGGTAAGACAGAGGTTGCACAAGGCTGGGGAGGAGTTGCCTAGCTGGTCAGAGGAGGCTACTGGCCCAGAGCTTGCCATCTTCTCTCCAGACTTTCCCCAGCTGCCCCACTCCTCCCAGGCTTGGCACTAAATGTACACAAGAGGTTCTTTGCACCATGAACTCATTCTGCTTACACCATGTGTGAGAGAATTATTGAGCACCTGCCAGGTTCCAGGCCCTGGGCTAGGAGCTGAGGCATGGCAGGGGAAGAAAGAAAGATAAAAAATGCAACATCCAACTCTCAGAGATCCTAGTACCTGGCAGAAGACAGACATGGAAACAAATGAAGACAGGAAGTTGCAGGGTGAGGGCTTGGACTGGGTGAGAAGGGAGTATTTCTGAGAGGTATATTGAGGGGACCCATAAAGCAGCTGACACCCAGCTTCCCTGACAGAGCCCACTGTCTCCCAGAATTGCTCAGAGGAAGTGAGGCTGGACCTAGCCCGGTCCCCGTACAGCCAGGGCTCTGAATCCTATATCGAGCAGCTGCTTTGGCCATGGACTGAGCTTGGCGTATTTTTTATTTTAATTTAATTTTTATATAAGATTTATAGCTACGTAGTTAAATCAAGCAATACTGCAAGGCGTATGAAGAAAACAGAAGCTCTGCTCCATAGCTAACACTGTGCACACTCCCTAGAGTATTTGCACCCATGTTTCTAAAGCACATATGGATGCAAATACTGTTACTGCTTAATTTTTTCCACTTGTTTAGCTTCCTGTTGTGACAAGGACTTAGCCCTTAATTTCTCTGCCCCCATTTGTAGAGCACGGTGGCTCCATACAATAAGCACTGGACTGCAAACCACAAGGTCTATGATTTGAGCCAGCCAGCTGCTCCTCAGGAGAAAGATGAGGCTTTCTGCTCCTGAGAAGATCTGAAGCCTCAGAAACCCTATACAAGGTGGCTTTGAGTCGGAACAGTCCACAGCACCTGACAACAATACTCCATATATAAGTGTATCACAACTCCTAATTAAATCAGCCGTTTTTACATTATTATGACATAGGAGCTGTGGAATGTAATATGATTATATTTCCTTTCCCCTCTACTTAATCATTGCTCCCATTTTTTTTTACTTAGTTTTTATAGAACCCAAACCAAAGTCACTGTTGTCAAGTCCTCCCTGACTCATAGTGACCCCATGGATTTCAGAGTCAAGCTGCATTCCCTAGAGTTATTAAAACAATGAACAAAGAGCATCCAAGAGAACGGTACAGTGTCAGGTGGTCTGCCGTATTTGTAATTAGTGTACCAGAAAGAGAAGAGAGAGCATGGGTCAGAAGATGTATTTTACAAAATTAATGAAAGAGCATTCACAGATCCAAGATCAGAAAGCATCTAATAGATGTTGAATACAAAGAAAAACACACTTGGTATGTCCTAGTCACACTAGAGATGAAAGAAAACAGATAAAAGGCCTCAATGAAAACAGAAAATCTACAGCTAACATCATACTGGAGACCTGGACTGGACTGCTAACCACAAGACTGATGATTCAAACTCACCAGCCGTTCTTTGGAAACAGGGTTACTGTGAGTCGGAAGTGACTCGATGGCACTGACAACACCATCATACTTCATGGGAAGAGACTGAGTGCTTTCCCTCTAGAATGGGGAGAAAGACAAGATGTCTGTTGTTACCACTTCTATTCAGGATCACTCTGGAAGCCCTAACCAATACAATAAGGGAAAAGAAGTTGATAGAAAGGAAGAAATAAAACTGATTTCTACAGATGACATGATTATTTACATTAAACAAAAGAATTTACGGAAACAAGCTGCTGAAGCTAAGTTGAAGTGAGGTGCACAGAATTCAGTGACAGTATATAAGACCCATTGTGTCTGTGTCCTAGCAACAAACAATTGGAAATTGAAATGAAACTGTACCTCAGCTTAGCTCATTAAAAACAAAAGCAAGCCTTTTGAGCCGTGCATTGACTTGATGTGTGATTTTCACCATTTCTTCATCTTTCTGTGCCTTGGTTCATCATTTGAAACTCATTTGTCTGGCCACACCTCTAGAGCTCAGTGCCTGCCAAGGGTCTACAGCAATGTCAGCTGGGAGGCCTCAGAGACACCAAGTAGCCAAGTCAGGGTGCTTGTCCCTTCTCTGCTTGTTTCTTTTTTGAGCTGAGGAGAAATTCATATAATATTCACCAATTAGAAGTGAAAAATTTAGTGGTATTTAATACTTTCAGTGTCTTGCAACCACCATGTCTATCTAGTTCAAAGTATTATCATTACCCCAACAGGAAACCCCATGCCCATTAATTAGTATGCATTCCCTGCCCCCCCACCCCCACCCCCGTCACCCAGGCCCTGGTAACCACTAGTCTGCTGTCTCTATGGATTTACCTAGTCTAGATATTGCTCTACAGTTTGTGACCTTTGGTGTCTGGCTTCTTTTACTTAGCGTAATATTTTTGAGGCTCATCCACATTGTAACATGGATGAGTATTTCATTCTTTTTTGTGGCTGTACAATATGCCATTGACGTAGATATCACAGTTGATGAATCCAGTCATCCATTGGCAGACGTTTGGGTTGTTTCCACCTTTTGGTGGAAGATCCCTGAAGGGCATCTTCTGCAGCTGTCAGACAGGGGCACTCGCCCATTTGGTCAGCAGCCTGTGTAGGGGAGAGGAGGGCTCTGGCTCAGAAGCAGGAGAGAACCTGGGCTTAGCTTTCACAGGGCTGTTTCTACTGCAGACATGGACGTCTCGCTGCCTAATGAGGTTCTATGCTGTGGTGGCCTCCTCGCCCACGTCTTGGGAGAACCACAATGTTGCAGAAAGGATCGAACAGCGGATCCTGAACTCCAACCCTGTCATGGAGGCTTTTGGTGAGCTTGGCGTTCTCTGCACAGCACCTCTGTCCCATTTCCTCAAATATCTGCCATCTTCCTAGGAGCTTTAAGACCTTCTCTTTGGGGGGCTGGAGAAGGAGTGGATCCTTTACTGTGTTGGATTCCCAGCCTCCTTCCAGCCCCTCAGGACTTCTGTCCAGTATAGGACTGTCGTTCTATCGTCTCCCTCCCTCCAGCCTAGGCACATAAACAGTGATGCGGAGCCAACCTTATGGCTCATCTAGTCTAAATCCTGGTCCTCCATCAGCCCCTTGGTGGTCCAGAGAGGAAGAGGACTGGTCTGAGAGACAGTAACTAGCGTCCAGGTGTTGACTAGAGCCCAGATGTGCCTTACTGTCTAACCCCATCATGACAGTTTACCTTCAGAGAAGAGCAGCCCTGGCGGCCTGGGCTTGCTCATTCCAGTTCCTTACCAGGAAGTTCTAACTCTCCTGAATGGCACTTGCAGAAGTCTGAGTGTCCATTTCCCAGTGCCATCCCCTGGGCCATGGAAAATAGTGACGGTGACTTGAAGATAGGAAGGTGGGGACCCTGCAGCCACCTTGCCCCATGAGAACTCAGTCAAGCTGAAGCAGTGTTAACATAGGTGTGGTTTGTAGGGAACGCATGCACGCTGAGGAATAACAACAGCAGTCGCTTTGGGAAATTCATCCAGCTCCAGCTGAACAGGTAACAGCCACAGCCCACTAGCTACAGAATGAAAGGCCATGTCTAGCCTGGGCCACCCTTTGGGCAGAACCCCACCTCTCCCAGTCTAGCCTAGTATGTATGTGGGCATTTCTAGGGTCAGGAAGCCCTGAGGTTGATCATTAGCTGTAGCCAGTCTAACGTCAATTGTGGGGAAGTGTGCTTACTGTGGCCTGTGTCTTCCTCCTGGCTCCTAACCTTCTCAGGAGTTACAGGTTAAGCTGCCTCGCTCTGGGCCATGCCCCTGAGCTGAAGGTGAGATTTTTGCTTCTGCTTCAGGATGGACAGAGGGATGCCCCAAGGTCATGACCCTTCCCACCTGAGCTGGGTACAGGGGGATGTCTCCGGCCCTCAGGAAGCTATGGGGGAGTTTCTGGGTTGCAGTCTAGCACATGGTAGGTGCCTAATAAATTACTGTGAAGTCAACAAGCAACTAATGGGCTCTGACCTGTGTGTGCTTAGGACCCAGCAGATGACCGGAGCTGCAGTTCAGACCTACCTACTAGAGAAAACCCGAGTGGCCTGCCAGGCCCCCCAGGAGAGGAACTTCCATATTTTCTACCAGGTCTGCCAGCAGGGCTCTCCCTCACCAGCCTTTCGGCTGTACCATTGCTTATTCCTGCGGACTTCTGGGGTGCCTCTGTGCGCTGGGCCCGGGCTCTCTGCAGGGTTTTGACATGGGTTTGTGGCAAATCTCCTCTGTCAGACCAGAGGGTGGGACTGCACATCTCTAGAATGGAAGCTGTGTCACCTCTTCAGACAGGGAGCAGGGGTGCTCCTAGAATGACTGAGGTCTTCCCTAACAGAATGAGGGCTCCCAGTAGGCATGAATAATACGTCTCCCCAGCTTTCAGCCTGGGAACGTCCTTAGGTAATGGGTATGCCTCCCCAGTAAGAACAGAGGACTCCCCAAGGTAGGAGTGGGGTTCCCTCCTTGGCTACAGGCTTCAGCGTAGGGACTTTTGTGGGCTTTGGCCTCTGGTTGGAGACACCCAAAGCTCTGTTTCTTTCCTTACCCCGGTGCCTGTCCTGGGACCTTTCAGCTTTGTGATGTTACTGCCATTTCTCACGCCTCCTGTGGAGGTCTGGGCACCCCTCGTAGCCCAGGCTGAGCCCCAAACGCCCTCCCTGCCCACAGATCTATAAAGGAGCCAGTGCAGACGAGAGACTGCAGTGGTACCTCCCTGATGGCGCTGCCTTCTCCTGGCTGCCCAACCCAGAGAGGACTTTGGAAGGTAGGGGGCACCTGGTCCAATAGCACCCACCTGCCCTCACAGCCCTCACCACCCTGCTGACCCTCTGTAGCCCTGACTTGGATTCTCTTTCAGAGGATGATTTTGAGGCGACCAAAGAGGCCATGCTCCATTTGGGCATCGACACCCCCACCCAGAACAACATCTTTAAGGTCAGAAGAAAAACCACACCACTTAAATTTGGCAGAGGTGAGGGGGGCATTTCCTGAGCCCTTTCCTGGACTTGTGCCATGTTCTTTACGTGTTGAGCTAGCATTTGGACCCTGCTTTGCAGCCCCCCAAGGAGTCACCCACCCTCTGTTGCTGAGCCTGGAGACAGGGTGCTGGCATGGGGGTGACAGAGACACAAAGGAGAGCACATTGTTCCTCAGCGCCCAGGATCAGTTATTAAGATAGCCACGTATTGTTTGATACGTTAAAATACAAGAACCCCATTCATATGCTGTATTCAGCAGTCCTATGTGTGGGAAGATTATTATTCCCATTTTATAGTTGAGAAAGAGAAAATGACCTGCCCTGGGTACACGCCCTTACATGATGCCAGTAGAGTTTGTACCAGACTTAGTTCCAAAGTCCCGCCATTTTTCTCTGCCCTCCCACCCCCTCAGGCTAGGTGACCAGAGCCCCTCTAGTGGCCTCCTTCCTCCTATCTGCCTTTACTGTCAGGGCTGACTAGACCAGCAGAGTACTGGGAAGGGTAAGATGGGATAAGTTGGCAGCAGGGACCGAGAAGCCACTACAGAGAGAGGGCAGCTCAGTGGGAAGTGGCCTCCACTTTCCATAGGGGCTGCTCAGCATGAAGGGTGCCACACCCAGGATGAGGGGCCATCACTAGGGTCTGGGCTGCTGGTTTGAGGGTGGCATGCCCTGCTCCAGACACTGCCCACTGGGCATAACAGTCTTCTCTCAGGGGTTCTTGTACCTGCAGGAGGTTGGTGACCAGAAGGCCAGGAGCATGTGTAGGGGCCCCCTGTCCGAGGCAAGACAGAGATGAGGGTACAATCCTGCTCTCTCAGAATCAGATCCAAAGGTTTCAGAATGGCTGGGCCCAGGGTGTCCCTTCTACAGCCCCTGGGAACTTAGCCATATGACAACCCTAGTCCACGAGGAACTGAGTCTCCCTGGACAGTGGAAGCCAGAGGGATGGATGGTGGGTGGACATGGCACCCACTGGCTACCTTGGGAGGTGTCTGAGATCAGACCACTCGGGTTCCAATCCTACTTTTACCTTTTACCAACTGTGTGGTCCCCGGCTTGTGGTTTCTCCTCTCCTCGGATGAGCACACCGCACACACCTCACTGGAGGTGACCCATGTAACTGGCCCGCTTCTTTAGTAGGGGAGCAATCCGTGGGAGTGACTTTGAGTCTCATGAGTGTACTCAGCAGGGAAGAGACCCCTCCTTAAGGAAAAGGTGCCCTCTCTGGCCCCTCTCCTCCCTCAGGTCCTAGCCGGACTGCTGCACCTCGGCAACACGCACTTTGCTGACTCTGAGGACGAAGCCCTGCCCTGCCAGCTGATGGACCCTGCTGAATGTGAGGGGCTGGGGGGTCCTCCCAGGAAATCACCAGGGTTGAGTACGAATCTTGCTGTGGTTGTTGGTTGCTGTTAAATTGATTCCAACTACATTTTGAATCTGATGCCTTCACGAAACCACCAAACGAAATCTCGGGTTCTGTCCCAGATCATTTACTCATCACTCCATCTCTGCTGGGGGGACAGTTTGTAAAATTATTTGTTCCACATGCGCTAGTGTGAACTAGGACAGAGACGCCCTGGGTTCAAGTCCTGGCTCTGCCCCTTGAGGCCTGCTCCCCGAGGTAACTTCCCAGTGCCTCATGGCAGGGACTGTTCTAACTGAGGACTCGCCCTCACAGACTCTGTCAGGACATATGCATCACTGCTGCGGCTCCCAGAGGACGCGTTGCTGGAGACACTGCGGATCCGAACCATCTGGGCAGGCCGGCAACAACAGGTGATCCGGAAGCCGTGCTCCCGAGCCGAGTGCGCCACCCGAAGGGACTGTCTGGCCAAACTGATCTACTCACGGTGAGCAGGTCCTCTGGGATGAGCCATGTGCTGCACTCAAATTCTCCCTGCTCTGGGGCTGGATGGGCCACCGTCAGGCTGCGTGGGGGAGACCAGATAAAGCAGGCACAGGTCTTCTTCCTGTTCCTCAGAGCCCAGAAGATGGGGCAGGGGGGACTTCCCAGGCTTTCACTGAGGCAGGGCCCTTAACCTGTGTTCATGAATACTTCAAGTGGGGAAGTTGCCACGCTCCTGTCCTAGATTCAGCTCCAAGTCTTGGATAGCACACTGAGCAGTAAGTGGGAGCCCAGAAGAGTAGTGGAAGTGGGGGGGTCCTGGCCTTTCCCTGATATGTTTCTATGGCCACCCTCTGGCCACCAAGCACTAAAACCACAGGTCTCACCTGGGTTCTGAGAACAGGTGCAGGGACCCAGAACCCTCCAGATGATGGGACAGAGTATACGGTGTATGTGCACATGTGCATATGGGACCATGAGCACCCTTTCCGGAGATGGTCCCCTGCTCCTTTTAGAACCTCTCAAAAGAGCCAAGAGCCTGAGAAGCACCATGAAGGGAACCAGACCCTCTGGGTTGGAAATGGCCCACTGCACCTGGACCCAGACTAGACCATTGTTGCAGCAACAGACCGAGTTCCCACGCTTTCAACTAATTTTTGGTCAGAATTCCAGATTAAAGATTTGTAACAGCCTTTGCCTCCACATCACTGAAAGACAAGCAGCTACATGTGATCATCAGAGTGAGCTTGTGCTGAAGATGGTTTACACATGGTGACGGCCAATTAGGTCATTGTGTCACTAGGAGAGTTTGTTCCTTGTCTTAGTACCTCGAGGGAGTATTTGAAACCACCCGCTGCAAAAAGAGGAGCTCTGATGGTTTGGTGGGTTGTGTTGAGCTGTTGACCACAAAGGCGGTGGTTCAAACCCAGCAGCCGTTCCACAGAAGAAAGATGAGGCTGTAAACTCCTGTAAAGATTTACAGTCTGAAAGCCCTCAGGAAAAGCTCTGCTCTGTCCTGTTAGGGTCTGTCTGAGTTGTCGAGTTGATGGCAGTGGGTGAGTTTCGAACAGAGATTGAAATCCTATTGAGTTGAGAAAAACTGCAGAGCAGTGACTTTAAGAAAAATTATACTATAAACCTTTACTCAATTCATATTAAAAACCTTTACAAAAATTGCAAAGAAGAAACCCCTTCATAGTGTTTCGTCCGTCCTCACACTGTACAGTAATCTTCTTCTGTACATCATCTTCTCTGGAGAGGGTGGAGGGCACTGGTGTTGCTCTCAGGTGACCAAGTTAAGACAGGAGGTGGACTCTGGGCTTGGGACTCCACAGTGGAGTTTTGCAGGGAGTCCAGGAAACTCAATTCTTCACAAACCCAGGCTTGCCCACCAACCCCTTCTAGTTAAGACCCCAGCTGGGTATCAGGCTGTGCGACCCACTCCCTGACGAGCCTCAGGGTGCCATTCGGTCCTGGGCTCAGTCTTGCTGGGAGGACAGGCCAGGTTCATGTGTCCTTGGGAACATGCAGGTGCAAGAGGTCAAGACTGGTGGACAGGCTCAGGTTGCAGGACTCTCCAGGTGTGGTGCTCGCAGGCTTACCACAGTCCACTCTCCGTCTCCCAACAGGTTGTTTGACTGGCTGGTGGCGGTGATCAACAGCAGCATCTGTGCAGACTCCGGCACGTGGGCCACCTTCATAGGTAGTGGGGCTCACTGTGCCAGGGGCATTCCTGCAAAAACCTGGGGAGCCCTGGACTCGGGGGCAAAGACCCTAGGTCCACTGTGACGCTGGACAACTCCTTTCCTTTATCTGGGCCCAGGGCTCACCTGTCCACCAAAGGGCGAGGAACACTTCATTCTCTGCAGGCCAACTCAGATGGTGCCTTACCTAGCTCAGGGCTGGGAGGACATGTTGTTGTTGTTAAGTGCCATCAAGTTGGTTCCCATCTCTGCAGGCCTGTTGGATGTATACGGATTTGAGTCATTTCCTGACAACAGTCTGGAGCAGTTGTGCATCAACTACGCCAATGAGAAGCTGCAACAGCACTTCGTGGCTCACTACCTGAGGGCTCAGCAGGTGAGGTCTGGCTAAGGCAGAGCCCTAGCCTCAGGAGCTGACTGTCAGCCTGTCCTTCCGCCTCTGCTGCTGCTGCTCTGACCTCAGACTACAGCTGTCTTCCCACCTTGGCCCTCTAGGAAGAATACGCAGCCGAGGGCCTGGAGTGGTCATTTGTCAACTACCAGGACAACCAGAGCTGTTTGGATCTCATCGAGGGGAGCCCCATCAGTATCTGCTCTCTCATAAATGAGGTGAGGTGGGTCAGCTAGTAAGCTGAGCACCGGAGTGTTGGCCTTGGGACTTTTTTGGGGACCTTGATGGCTGGCCGATGCCCTGTTGGGACCTCTGTCTCCCCATCTGCTGAATGAGTCTGCTAATCTCTGCCTCTCAGGGTTACTACGATGCCTTGGTGGCCACAGGGTGGTAAGGGTTGTGACTCCCCGCTGCTATCCCACCAGGAGTGCCGCCTGAATCGGCCGAGCAGCGCAGCCCAGCTCCAGACACGCATTGAGGGAGCCCTGGCAGGCAGCCCTTGCCTGGGTCAGAACAAGCTCAGCCGGGAGCCCAGCTTCCTGGTGGTGCACTATGCGGGTCCTGTGTGCTACCACACAGCTGGCCTCGTGGAGAAGAACAAGGTGAGCACTGCACCAGGAGGCTGTTCCCCATCATATCCTCTCCCTCCTACTCCAGCCTGAGCCACCCACACACGACTCATGTTACACTGGGACCTGCTCTTCTGCACGTGGACCTGCTGTCCCCTAGAAGCCCTGTCTTCTGTGGACAGCTCCGCCTGCACTTACTGCTGCCCTTCTCCTTTCCCAATAGGACCCCGTCCCCCCTGAGCTGACCACACTACTACAGCAATCCCAGGACCCCCTGCTCAAGGTGTTGTTTCCTGTTACTCCCCAAGAGAAGTCTCAGGAGGAGCCCTCTAGCCAGAGCAGAGCCCCCATGTTGACCGTGGTGTCCAAGTTCAAGGTAGGTCTGGGGGTTCTCATGCTCACTCATCCATCTCACAGATGTTCTCAGAGCACCTCCTACAGTTGCTGCCATTTGCTGGGAACAGTGGTGAGCCAAAGAGATGTGGCCCCAGTCCGCAGGGAGTTTATAGTCCAGTGTGGACGACAGAGACTTCAGACAGACTATTGGGTATAGCTGATCTGAGGAAGCCCAGCAGCACTAGGGTCACACCGTCGAGGCCTCCACCTACTGTTGATAGGTGTCAGAGGACAGCAATAGTCACGTGAACCTCTGTGACCCACCCACTCCCAATTCTCCCACTTCCTGCTCACACTCACTCTCAGCCAGAGTACATTTGTCTCGGATGCTTCCGTCGGTCTCTCAGGCCTTGTGCTTAGTTTATTCCTTCTCATCCATCAGATCTCAGCTTTACTGTCACCTGTGAGGACACACCCAGGGAAAGCAGGTGTGATAATGCCCTTCTGTCCCAGCCCAGGCAGCCCCAGGCCCTGCCTGACCCACCCCTCTCTAACACACAGGCCTCCCTGGAGCAGCTCCTGCAGGTACTACACCGCACCACGCCCCATTACATTCGCTGCATCAAGCCCAATAGCCAGAGTCAGGCGCACACCTTTGTCAGGAAGGAGGTAAGTAGCCCTAGGCCACAGGTGATTCGCTTGTGTGTCATCTGACCAAGTCCCTGAGAGTGAACAACAGGACCAGACTTTCAGCTCCAGTGGAGAGACAAGGAATCTCTCCTACTGGGCCTGACTCGGGGCGGGGTTTGGCTCACTGCTCTGACCGAGCAGTCATGCATGGTTGGGTGATTCATTCAGTGGCCTCGCCAAGAAGGCAAGTAGGGGCTTCAAGCCACCTTGTACTTTACTCACCAAGCCACGTGCCCTGACAAGAAACTATGGCTGTTCTCAAAGGACTGGATATCTTTTTGCGGTTAGCTGAAAGTGTCTAACTTTATATTCCATGCATAGTAAGGTTTTTCTGACGGGAGATCATTTTTCAGTCTGATTTGCATAAAAGCCTGGGCGCAGACTCTAGGGGTATAGATGAGGTATAGGTGCTGGAGATGCTCAGGAGTGTCCCAGTCAGCGGGTGTCTGGTGTATGGCTGCCTTAGTCATCTCCTTGTTAAGTGCCGTTGAGTCAGTTCTGACTCATAGCAACCCTGTATAGGGTTTCCGAGGAGAGAGCGCCTGGTGGGTCTGAACTGTTCACAGCTCAGTGCTGATCCACAGCGCCACACCAGGAGTCCTTAGTCATTCAGTGCTGCTCTAACAGAATACCACAGTGGATGGTACTGTCTCTCTCCCAGTTAGGACGCTAGAAGTCCAAATCCAGGGCACCAGCTCCAGGGGAGGACTTTCTCTTTCTTTGTTGGCTTGGGGTTTGGGAGGAAGGCCCTTGTTTCCTTTTAGTTGGCCTGGTATTCCTTGGAGATCTCCATGTGTCTTGGCCTCAATCTTCCCGTGGATCTAGAAAGTTCCCAGCACAAAGACCTGGGTTCACAGGACATGCCCTGCTCCTGGCTCGTCTTTCTCGGTGGTAGCATGTTTCTGCCTCTGCTCTTTTCTCACTCCTTTTATTTCTTGGTAGATAAAAGGTGATGCAGGCCCCACCCCAGGGAGACTCCCCATATATTGGATCAGGGCTGTGACCATTGAGGATCATCACATAACTGCCAAATCACGAAAGACTTGAGATGGTCCAGCTGAGATGGCACATATCTGGGAGAACACAATTCAGTCCGTTACAGTGGGTTAGGGTTTATAGTCAGGACCTCCTGCCCATCTGTTATGAAAACTGAAAAGGAAACTTTGGCTGAGCTGTGTTGTGAGCTGGAGAGTCCTTGGTTCCTGCTGGAAATGATGAGACAGGGCCATAGCTTTGTCTGACGGCATGCATCCAAGAGACGGATGTGGGGTCTCTAGGACCTATCTGCCCCAGCCTTGGGATAGGCTATAGGGCCTGTAGAAGAAGGCTAAAGGGATAGTGTTAGGGCCCCCTGGCCCCATGCTGCAGGTTCCTTCCTGTCTCCACACCTGCAGGTCCTGAGCCAGCTGGAGGCCTGTGGCCTTGTGGAGACCATTCATATCAGTGCTGCCGGCTTCCCCATCCGGTGAGTGGATGGGCCAGACCCAGGGCAGGGGCATAGGGAACTGAAGACAAAGAGGCAGGTCTCCGAAGTCAGACTGGAGGAACACCCCTGCTTACCCTGCTTACTGAGTACAACTTCTCCATCAGGGATCATAAATCTGAAGAGACTCTGGTTCTGTAGGAAAGTGCTGTGGGGCCAGGAAAGAGACAAGCGCTGACCATATTAGACACTTGACTCTTTGATGTGGTCAGAAAATGTGACATTGTTCACTGCAGATTAGTGACTAAGCACCCATGCTTACCTGGCTTACTGGGTAACTCGGCACTGGTCCAGGGACAGCATCCATTAGCTTCCTGTGCACGCTTTAATTGCAGGTGCTATTTCTGCTAATATACTGGTGAATATGGAAGATGAGTTTCTGCCTCTAAGGGCACACATTGCTGTGGAAACAAGGAAAAGAATTACAAGTATAATTGGTGCTAGGAATGAAACAAGAACTACTACAAGATAGACTCACAGGAAATAGGGTATCCTTGGGCCTATGGGCGGAAAGGAACAGCCTGGAAAGAGTTGGGGACAGAGGGATGCTCTAGAGAAAGGGAACAGAGCACCGAGAATGGGCAGGGTGGGACGAGATGAGACAGGCCAGTGGGTAGAAGCCAGATCACGAAGTCCCGGGTGAGCCATTGGAGGACTGTGTGATTTGTCCTGAGTGCAGTGGATGCTGCTGGCCGACTCGTCCTCTAAGAAGATCCCTGGGGCAGGACAGAAGGTGTCCAGACAAGAGGGACAGCTCAGATGAGGGTGGCAGTACAATGATGGAGAGAAGTGGGGAGTAGAGCAGGGTTTGTGGTAAAAACAGCAGGACTGTGGAGTGATAGACTAGAGAGTGTTGGGCTGAGGGAGCAATAAACTCCAGGTAGCAGCAGCAAATTCCAGGCTCTGTCCCCTGTCGATGAACAGGGGGACCGTTTACTGAAACTGGATTATCTGAAGGTCTTGTCAAGGTTGAGAGCTCAGCGGAGCTTCCGGGACTGGAGGTGTACTTGCTCTGCTCACACCGTGAGCAAGAAAGAGGTCACCTGGGAGGGGTACGCAGTCTGAGGCCACACCCTGGGAAGCCTCAAGTTTGGCGAGAAAGCAGCGAGGACAGCTGGGTGACAGATAAGGCCAGATGGTAGGGTCCTGGAGGCTGAGAGAATGTGCCTCTCGGGGAAAGGCATCTCAGACCTAGAGACCAGGTAAGAGGGAAGCTGAGCATTGGCCACTGCATTTGGTGGCACAGTGCTTGATGCTAATTGGTGCAGTGTTTGGGACAGAAGCTAGACTCTGGATGGCTGAGCAGGAACAGGTGGAAGAAGTACAGAGATCAGGTTTATGTGAGGATACGAGTCAGAGGATGATGGAGACTGGCTGGCATGGTTATGTGGTCAAAGTGGCCCAGCTATCTGACTTACAGGGAAGCCTCTGAGTCCCTTTGGAAGATGACAGGTGCCAAGGCAGCAGAAAGGGTGCACAGTGGTCTCAAGTGGTCACTGAGTGACCCTGGCTCCCTCGCTGGCCCGGGAACAGATTAAATGAAGGTCATTCTGCTGAGCACTATGCCTGGCTCAAGACCAAAGTCATTCCCTTCTCTTCTCCCGCCTGCTTTGGGCTCCAGGGTCTCTCACCGGAACTTTGTGGAACGGTATCAGTTGTTGAGGAGGCTCCGTTTTCAGGTATCCCCTGGCACCCACAGCTTAGCTCCTGCCAAAGGGCACTCAGGTGAGTGGGGGCCCTTTACCTGTTCACTGAGCTGAAGTTTCCTGAATACTTAACCAGGCTCCCTGAGGGCTAGATGCTGGGGATTCACAGCACTGCCCTCATAGTTCTTGGTTTCACTGGAAAGGGGGACGGCAGGGCTATGAACAGAGTACTGGGGAGATGGGAAGGCTTCCTGGAGGTGGTGTCTGGGGGCTTTGCACTTATCAGAGTTAATCTAAATGACCACGTGTATGTGAGGAGCGCTGGGCCATTCAACACCATGCAGCCCGGAAAGAACGGTGGAAGGTGGCTGACTAGGTCGGGGCTCCTGGACTTTATTCCCTGGCAGATGGGAGGCACCGGGGAGACCCACGATCTCCATCAGCCTCATGCTTTCTGGGGCTAACTCTGGGTCCCCATGGAGGACCATGCCAGGGGGCAAGACCCATCAGGGAGGTGGCCTAGGAGGTTGGAGCACGGTCAGGAAATGTTGAGAAGACATGGGCCAGATGATGCACATGTGACTGGAGGTAGAGGTGGAGGAAAAGACCGTGAGGAAAAGCAACAGGAAGAAGGGTTAGGGACCCTGCTAACCTGAGTCCCAGGTCCCGAGTCATCCAGCCAAGGTGTCTGCATCCAGCCGAGGTGTCTGCAAGGCACTGGGAATGTTAGGGAAGGCCTGGCCTGGAGCCCAATTTGGTAGTGGTCACCATGTCAAAACCTATACCTGAGGCTCTAGGAGTGAATGAGCCAGCCCCTCCAGCTGCCCCCTGATTCTGAGATGACTCCACTTTGCTTTTCTCCCTCTTGGGCAGACTATTACCACTTTCACCCTCTTTTCTCCTCTCTTCTCCCACTTCCCTCCTCTCTCTTCTGTGCCCAAAGCCCCTCTGGTGTCTGGTTGATTTTGCTGCTGTCTCTCATCTGCGGGGTCTCTTGGCAGCCTCTGTCTCAAACAAGGCACTGGGCAGCTAAGGTGCTCAGAGCCCTCAGGTAAACCCTCCCTCCTCTGCAGAAGTCACCCACCCCATGAGGTATGGGAGGGTAAATACAGGGGATCCACTGGGCCTCACAGGGCTGGGATTTCTGTTCTCCCTTTTCCCACCCCCAGCTGGGTGGGGTCAGGATGAGGAAGGGCCCAGTCCTCGCTTACCCTCACATCCTTAGAAACAAATGCTGGCTGAGGTTCCAGTCTAGGAGTGGCTTAACTAAGCCAAGCCTACCCAAAGGGACCTGTGGGAGCAGAGACTTAGGGCATAGCCACAGCGAGGAGTCCAAGATTCCTCAGACTAGCCATGGCCCCGAGCTCCTGGACAATGAAATCTGAACGTGGTCTCCCTGAAAATACAGGAGATAGAAATTATTAGAGGCAAGAACAGCGGAAATGAGGCCAGAGCCAGCTTCGTAAGACCAGAAAAGGGGGAGACGAACAGGAGCGTGTAGAGGGGACCAAGCATTAATGGCGTCTTGTCTTTTATCTCCAAGAAGTGCCTCCTGACGCCAACGAGGCCACACTGCAGCCTCTCCTTCAGGACATTCTCCACACTCTACCCACTCTAACCCAGGCAGCCACCACTGGGGAGTCAGCTAAGGCCACGCCAGCCCCCGTGCACTGTGGGAGGACCAAGGTGTTCATGACCGACTCCACGGTGAGCTGGTGTGGGGATGAGGAGCCAGAATGAGGCCAGCCACGTGCTCTCCACCACTGGGTGGGGGGGACAGGAGGGCTCAGGACCTCCCTGCATGCCTTCTCCCAGCTGGAGCTTCTGGAAGGCGGGCGTGCCCGGGTGTTGGAGCAGTGTGCACGCTGCATTCAGGACAGCTGGAGGCGACATGTGCACCGCAAGCAGGAGAGGCAAAGGCGGGCGGCTGTGCTCATCCAGGCAGGTAAGAGGGCTCCTTCCAGCAGTGCTGGCACACAGACCCCACATGATGCTGGCTTCCTGTGAACTCTTGCTTATTGAGTCCCCATCTCCTGGTGCTCACTGTCCCAGCCTAGGATTCCAGTTCTCTGCCCACCTCACCCAGAACATCTGTACAGTGCAATGGAAACCACCATAGGTGCCCCCTCATAGGTTAGTTGCCATCGAGTCAGCCTCCAGCCCATGGTGACTCTATTTACCAAAAGCTTAATGACTGTGTTGTGATCTTTTTCCTGTGTCTGGACAAACCTCAGCCACTCGTTCCTGGTTAACACGGAAGCACATCCGGAGGCTGCACACAGCTGCCACCATCATCAAGCGTGCATGGCAGAAGTGGAGAGTGAGTTTCTGACCCATTATGTCGCAGTGGGGGCTTGAGTACCAGATGGACTGATTGAGAATGCTGGCTCTGCCACAGCTAGCTGAATGGCCTTGGGCAAGTCACTCTACCTTTCTGAGCATTATTCCTTATGTATGAGGATGATACCACCACCGCCACAGGGTGGCTATAACGGTAAAAAATGGCAGCGTGAACTCTAGTACTGTGCTAAAAGTGATGGTATGTTAGTTCTATCTCAAGAAAGCTTTGTCTAAGGTAGCTAGTAAGTACTAAGCCCAGGACCAGTCACACTGATGTTGTAGCCTTTGGCCTAAAGCCACCCTACCATCCAGAATGACAAAGTTCAAGTCTTCCCCTAGATAAGCTGATTTATGAACAACCGTTTGAGTTTCCAGCTTCCATTAGGAGGGCGAGATCAATCCAAAGCTATAAAAGGATGTTTTCTTTTTAAGATCAGAATGGCCTCCCTTGCTTTTAAAGAACTGGATGGTGTGGAAGACAAACATCTGTTTCAAGATGCCGATTTCCTGAGCTCCAACCCATTACCTCCAGTGCAGACTAGGCTTCTGGGGGCAATAATCCGCCTCTGGCCCCTGGGACTGGTCCTGGCTAACTCAGCCACGGGAGTACGCGGCTTTCAGAGGAAACTGGTTGTCTGGGCCTGCCTCCAGCTTCCCTCAGGAAGGCCCAGCAGCGACACCCTGCTGACGGCACAACACGACCAGGCTGGTGTCACATCCATTCGAGCGCTGCCTCAGGTAGGTTGTGTGAGGGGACAGCCTGTACCTCCTACCCACCCCACCATAATAGGCAGGAATCAAACTTGGGGACTCTACGGGGGACTAAGGCTGCCACAAGAGCCAACCCTGTTAAGTAAACCTGGAGTGTTTCCATCAGCATAGCTGGAAATTTGCCAGAGCCCTTCACATTGTCAGTACTAGGTGTTTTAGGATCTCTTTTGAATCTTAATTAGTCCAGTTTTAAAAACTTGGATTACAGTAATGGCTAGAGAAGAACAGTCAGCCAGCACCTCACAAAGTCACGGTCCACAATCACAATTCCCGTTAGCAATGGGGAAAAGGTGGAAGGCACGTGTGCTGGAGGGTCCAGGTGCTGGCTCCCCCGCCCCCTACACACACACACATATACACACATTGGATAACCTGAGCAAAGTCTTGTCTCATTTCTTGCTACCACCAATTCTTCCCTGACAAAATGAGGCTCATACTTTCCACCTACCACACAGGTTCTCAGCAAGGATTAAGTGAAATCGGCAGGGCAGTAGGAAGGCAAGCTTATAATTACTATAGGTCACAAACTAGATAAAACCTCCCAGGAATGTGTCATTCTGTGGCACTCCTGGGAGCTGGGCTAAGCTTAGCTGCTTCCATCTCCCCCTAGGGTTCGATCAAGTTTCACTGCAGAAAGTCTCCACTGCGCCACGCTGACATCTGCCCTGAGCCTCCACCCTACAGTGTTACTGGCTTTAATCAGATTCTGCTGGAAAGACACAGACTGATCCAAGTGTGACCTCTTCCTGCCCTCTGCCCTCCCCTGGCTGGGTGATCCTTGCTGCCTTTGCTTCTCCGGGGCCTTCTGCCAGCTGCCTTGCCAAAGACATTTAATCAGCACATGGCTGCCAAACTATTCCCACAGCGACTACAAGGCATGTGAAAACGAGCTGCTTCCTGCCTTAGAGGCCAGGCTGCAACCGCAAACCCATCTCAGGCACTGATAGGACGTGGAGGCTGAGAGTCATGAAACTGGAGATAAGATGCACCAGAGCCCTGGGCCCCTACACTACACACACAAATTCAACTCAGCATCCTGGGTGCTGTCCATCACTACAGCGGAGCACCCCCCACTCCTCATGAGCATTTTTGGAAGGAATCGGGCAAGATCAGCTTGAAATGTCATTTAGTTCCTGATAAAGGAATGAAACTTAGTATTTAACACAACTGTTGACTTAATATCATTTCAAATCATTAGAGTATCATGAACCAAGAAGATGAAATGTACGATAAAACCGCCACATCCTGATTTTATTTAGCAGCACTGGTCAAGTTTCAGCTCAACCACGTATAAAAACTTGATCAATGATACCACTTATGATATCAATCCTAACTGTACCAAAAATAAAACATTTTAAAACAACCATTCCAGTGTTGAATTTCTCCCCGTTAAGAATCTGCCACTCTGACTACTCCCACCTGCCCGAAACAGGAGACCATCTCCACATCCACCGGCCAGCACCCTAGAATTCATGTCGTGTTCCTTGTGCAGGGATCCAGCCAGGCTTCTCCACTCTAGTTGGTCTCTCCTGAGAGGAGGGGGGGTGCGCTTTGCTTCAGGCAGGCAGCAGGGTGAATCCATCTTAATCCTCATTCTGGGACGGTTCCACAATTCTTAAACAGCAGTCTGCAAACTCCACAAACAAGGGCTCTTGCATATAAGCTCTCATGAGCTTTGCTTTGTCGTCCCCCTGATCAAGGCTGACCATCAATTGTCTAAGGTGTGGATTAAGCAATAAACTCCTCAGTAGTGCAGAGTCCCCTTAAAAATGAACAAAAAACAAAGACAACCTGAGTGCCAAGAGGGCTAAGGTGAATATAGCTGAAAGCTACATCTTTCACATGCAATGAACACCTTTCTAAGATACTGTATCCCCTTACCCATTAGTTAACCCAATGCTTAACACATGAACAAGGAGAGATCAGCATCTTACTGCTATAAATATTGTAACTGCATTCCATTTCAGCTCAAGAAGATCAGCACAAATTCAGAGACACAGCATTAAATTGTTGGCATGTTTTATTTTCTTTATAAGCATAAATGTTCTCAATGGGAGAGGATAGTTGGGCCAAATACTGATATAAACAAAAAGGCATGGGATTCAACATGAAGCAGGGCCCATATATAACTAACATATCTGCACAGTGTTTTACCAAACCAAGAAACCAAACCCACGGCCATAGTAAGTGCCATCGAGTCACTTCCGAGGAGCAGCTAGTGAATTTGAGCAGTTAGTGCTTCTCCTACAGAGCCACACCTAGACTCCTGGGCTCCTTGTATGGTGCACTAAGATTTACATCACTTTTTCACAACTAGCATAGTGGATTACAAGCTGGGCTACCAAACACAAGGTAGACACTTCAAACCTACCAACTGTTCCGCAGGAGAAAGATGAAGCTTTCTGCTTCTGTAAAGATTTACAGCCTCGGAAACTCTATACAGGGTTGCTATCAGTCGGAACTAACTCGATAGCACACTACCACCACCAATACCAGCTCAGTTCCAACTTCAGCCTAATTGCTACTAGTTATTCAGTGCTGTTGAGTCGGCTGACTCATCATGACCCTGTACAGCAGGTGTGGGGAACCTATGTGCTGCCAACGGCCATTTGAATTATATCATTCGTGGGTCATACAAAATTATCAACTGAAAAATTAGACTGCTATATTTGATCAAACACTTAACTCACCCCTGAAATCCCTATACAGGGTCACTATGGGTCGGAATTGACTCAACAACACTTAACAACAATGTGATGATTGTATTAGGCAAATCTGCTGCACAGGAACTTTTTAAAGTGTTGAAGAGCAAAGACGTCTGCTTGGGGACTAAGGTGCGCCTGACCCAAGACATGGTATTTTCAATAGCCTCATATGCATGTGAAAGTTGGACAGTGAATAAGGAAGACTGTAGAAAAATTGATGTGTTTGAGTTATGGTGTTGGAGGAGAATATTGAAATTACCATGGGCTGCCAAAAGAACCAACAGATCTGTGTTGGAATAAGTGCAGCCAGAGTGCTCCTTGGAGGCCAAGATGGCCAAACTTCGTCTCTCATACTTCGGACATATTGTCAGGAGGGACCAGTGACTGGAGAAGGATATCATGTTTGGTAAGGTGGAAGGTCAGAGAAAGAGGAAGACCCCCAGTTAGATGGATTGGCCAATTGGCAGCATCGATGGACTCAAGCATAGAGACAGTAGTGAGGTTGGCCCAGGATCGGGCAGTGTTTCATTCTGCTGTGCATAAGGTCGCTATGAGTCAGTACCGACTTGATAGCACCTAACCACAAAAATGTGACGGCTGAAACTGCAGTTGCCTTCGCAAGGCTAGATCAAATGAATTCATGGGCTTTATATGGCTTGTGGGAGGTCCTGCCATGGCGCTGCAGATTAATGTGCTGGACTGCAAAGTTGGTTTGAACCTCAAGGTCCGAGGTTCCAGCTCATCAGCCGCTCCTCAGAAACCCTATACAGGATTGCTAGGAGTTGGAACCAACTCCTCAGCACTTAACAACAAATGACCTGTGGGCCGGGTGTTCCCCAGCGCCGCTATATAGTTTCCAAGAAGCAGCTGGTGGGTTTGAACTGCTAGACATGGTTAGCAGTCTAATACTAATCCTACAGTGCCATACCAGGACTCTAATAGTCACTAAGAGACTATGCAAATAACTGAATCTGGAAAAAGAAGAGTGAAAAGGAATGCCCACCTTTAATTACATACACAATGGGACCATTATGAGTTATTAAATGAAATGATGCAAAAATGCTGGGCATTATTAACACCCATCTTTCCTCTAAAAATTCAATTTCTGTGATTACGAACCTGCACTAATGGCTGGGTTGTAAACTGAACACAAGGAACATGGGATAAACACAGGTCCCTGCTCTACAGATCGGCTGGTCAGAGAAATTACAAATGTATTGTTGTTGTAAGTGCCACTGAGTCGGTTGCGACCCTGTATAGGGTTTCCAAGGAGGAGCTGGTGAGCTTGAACCACTCTGTTCAAACTGACTTTTCTGTCCAGCGCATTAACCCACAGAGGCACACCATATTAATAAGCCCAAGGCACTGCGGGAAACTGAGAAAGGGCCTCATTCAGAGAGACAAAAAGCCAAAAGTTTCACTGAGGAAAGGAAATTTAAAACTATGCCTTGAAGGAAGAGCCAAATTTTTCCAGCGCACAAAACCAGGAGGGAGATTCTGGAAGAGGGACTTGCTGCGGGCAGGCAGGCCCTGCGGATTTACAGAACGGTAGCCACAGAGAGAGGGAGGGTCCTGCAGGCCAGGCAAAGGTATTGAGTAACTGAAAATTACATTCTGTACAAAATTACAAGTATCTCAACCAAGACAACTGCCCTGGGTACTCTTTGACTTTGAAACTAAACTACTTCCTAAGGTCACCATTTTTACTAAATATCAGATTGGCTCACAAAATAAAGATCACCTTTGAGTAGTACTCTGTTCCTTTTTAAAAAACATCTAAGGTCAGCGGTTCAAACCCAGGAGGTGCTCCTTAGAAACATTATGCAGGGTTGCTATGAGTAGGAACCAACTCCAAGGCGCTTAACAACATATGAGACCAAACAGTCAATAATTACTTCAAAATGCAAGAAATAATTGAGAATATTCATGCATTGCGAATAACCAACGTCACTGGACAATTTATGCAGAAATTATTGAATGGGAACCTAAAATGTTGTGTAAATCTTCACCAAAAACACAGTATTTTTAAAAAAATGTATCTCAAAGTTTGGCAAAAAAAGAAAGAAGCACAGCACAGACTTACCTAGATTCTTTAGACTCTGCATAGAGATCCTGTCTTCTTCCTCTTCACTACTGAGGAAATCAGCTATAGCTGACTCATCTAGGGAAGAATATAACAGTCACCTACTTACAAAAGGAACTCTGGTAGCGTAGTGGTTACGCATCAGGCTGCTAACCTCAAGGCTGGCAGTTCGAAACTACCAGCCGTTCCGTGGGAGAAAGATGATGCTTTCTGCTCCCATAAATATTTACAGCCTCAGAAACACTGTGCAGGGTCACTATGGGTCAGAACCAACTCCACAGTACTTAACAACAACAACTTATGAAAAGAAAGCTTCACACAATTGAGTTTTAAATTCCTCTAGTAGATAAAGAACATGTATGTACACACACACAAAGGGTACACAGTAGGGATAAACAAACGTGTGGCTACACAAACACTTCCCTTAAGAAAGTGAAAGACAGATCTGGTGACTTTAGCAAATACATCCTACTATCCCACACACTTGCAGTCTTTGGCCTTGGAGCCTGTTCCAATTCTTATCACCCACCTTCCAGCTCCGTGGTTCCAGCCCAATCATGAGCCCAAACACAAGGCACTCTAAAAACTCACAAAAGTCAATACTTTCTGCTTTTGGCATTTGCAAGGATTGCTTGGCATTGCCTGAGCTCCACCTAGAAACTTCTCAAAGGGCAGAAACAGACTATCCTTCTGACGTGAATCATCATTACTTTTTGGTGGCACTAAAAAGGGCTGTTTTCAAACAGGAGGTATTAAAAACAAAGTCTGGAGACATGGATAGAATAATATCCTTCTGTCACTGTAAGCTTTGAGGAGGTACAGGCAGCAAGGAGTGCTGGGACCAATGAAGCTTGCTACCTGGACCTAGCTCAGGTGAACTGATAGCCCAAGCCAGGCCCATAGAGGAGAACCAATTAATGCCACAAGAGAAGGTTAGCAGAGCCCACCCCAGGCCCCACACCTCTACTGTGGCCTTTTTTCTCTTGGTTTCCTACCCTATTTTTCCTTCTCTGAATAATGTCTTCAGGCTGCCCTATCGATGCCCCCTACAACGTGTGTCCCCACTCCTGGTGCCCAGGCTTTTAAAGAGGCTTCTGCCCCTAATGAAGCCTGGGGTTCTTGATTTCCTAACCTAAGCCACGTTCCTCTTTTTTTCCTTTCCTTCCAACCTACTCTATTTGAGAGCCTTTCTAGATCCATTTGTTTGGCTTTTTAAATCAATCAGCTCACCTTTGTTTTCCACAGCCTTTGTCGTGTTTGTAGATAGAGACAAACAACTTTTTTTCTTTACAGGATGAGTTTCAAAGTTGCACTGTTCTGAAAGAGACACAAATCTCAAACACACACCATCACCATCTCAGCTGTCCCTGCCCTTCCCCTCCCCCCAGCACCAAAGCTGGCTTCTATGGGAGCACAGACAGACATACTGGGTAAGGGCTGTGTGGGTGGAAATGGATGTGGAGGAAGTGAGAGATGAAATCAAGGGGCTGTATAAGGACCACCACAAGCAACCTGGTAGCGTAGTGGTTACGAATAGGGCTGTGAACCAAAAGGTCAGCAGTTCTAAACTTCCAGCTGTTCCGTGGGAGAAAGATAAGGCTTTCTGCTCCCGTAAAGATTTACAGCCTCAGAAAACCTGTACAGGGTCGCTATGAGTTTGAACCGACTCCACGGCACATAACAACAACCTTGCATCTGGTAGGAGGGCTGGGAAAGCAGAGCTCATTATCAAGTGCGGTCAAGTCAGTTCCAACTCACAGCGACCCTGTAATAGCGTTTCTGAGGCTTTAAATTTTTGCAGGAGCAGAGAGTCTCATCTTTCTCCTACAGAGTGGCTGGCAGGCTTGAACCTTGTACTTTGCAGCTATCAGTCCATTTAGCCAGGATTAAGCAGCATACTGACTTTGTTTTCTCAGAAGTGCCCCACATTAATTTGCATGTACCATCCACTGGGAATCCACAGGTGAGAAAGTCACCAGGGCATCTTCCAGGGGTTTAGTATTATATGGAAGCAATAAGGAACCAGACAACAATATCACATATGGCAGCCAGAGACAACAGGTAAGGCAAGAAGTTGTGGCTGTTAAGTGTCAAGTCGATTCTGACCCATAGCGACCCTGTATAGGGCTTCCGAGGAGCAACTGGTGAGCTTGAACCACCGACCTTACAATTCAAAGGGCTTTGCAGTCTGGCGCATTAACCCAAAGGACCACACTAGGACTCCCTAATGTAAGATGGGGTGGGTTTAAATCCATGTAATAGGATCAAGAGAGGAGACCAAGAAGGCTCTAGGAGGGAGAAGCTTTGCCAGGTGTCAAGAGCAACATTCCTGACAGAGAGAAGGGGTTACGCTTTGGACCAGACTCGTGAAACACTACAGTGAAGAACAGGAAGATGGGAGTAAGGAATTATAACTAACAGAAAACTCTCTCAGAAACAGTACTATCGTGGCGTACGTATCCAAGGTGGAAGGTCTCTAGTGTGGAAGTCTCATGCTGTCCTACAAGACATTTACTTGAAACTCCCCCACAGTTTAAGTAGTACCCCAGCTACTGTGACAACAAAAACACTGTGAAAACATCACCCTTGAGTTGACTCCAACTCCTAGCAACCCTACAGAACAGAACAGAACATCCCCTTTGGGTTTATAAGGCTGTAAATCCTTATGGAAGCAGGCTGCCACATCTGTTACATTTAAACAGCCAACTTTTGGGTTAGCAGCCTAATGCTTTAACCACTGTACCACCAAAACTCCTAAATGCCCCTTAGAGAACAAAGTTAATTCAGACAGAATAAAGCCATCTGCCCTAAATGCTGGGGAATCATTCATACAGAGTTTTCAGGGAGGGAATGAACTGCTCAAATGTACGTTTCCAGAAAAATCTACCCTGGCAGCAGCAGGGAGTTCTGATTGCACACTGGGTTCCTGGAGATCACTCACAAGGAAGATAAAGAGAGAAGTGTTGGGGATCCCAAATCTCCAACCCTGTTTCCAGCTGGTAAATGTCAATCTTCTCCTATCTTGAGCTCTAAGATTTCTTTTGAAAATGCTCCAGATAAATAAGTCATTATTTAAGGGTAGAAAATCAAATGGTGAGGGGCTATGACAGAATCTAAGATGAAAGTCAAAGGAATCGACAATGTTTAAAAAAACAAAAGAAGGACAGGGCATATAGAACGAAAGGCATTTTACAGGCAGAAACGAAGGGCCTAGGGAGGGTGGTCCCAAGCAGATGGGAAAGGGAGATGCAACAGGAAAGGCTGGCAGAGAAGCAGTGGTGCCTGAGATGGGGGCAGAGACGATGACGATGACGTGGAGAGATGGAACAGCTGGGGGCTTTAGACCCTGCGAGGGAGAGGGGCTGTGTGCTGCCGACCGGGCGCGGGGGGAGCAAGCTTGTAGGGTGTACCCTTTGGTTCGCTGATGATGCATGATGGAGATTGTAACAACGGCAATGAAACGATATACGCTAGGATGAGTGTAAAACTAATGTTCTCCCGTGTAAACTATCACATAATTCACAATAAAACATTTTTTTAAATTAATAAATAAATAAAAAGAAGGGCTGGGAGGGGCTGCGGTAGATCAGGCGCAGGAAAACTCGGGCTCCTAGGTCCCGAGTCGCCGGCGGAGAGGAACGTGGGGTTGCGCCACGCGAGAAGGGGGCGTCTGGACCTTACCTTTGTGCTTCCGGAAGCAGGTGACCGAGCAACTATAACAAAGAAAACAAACCGAGTCAGCCCCGCAGGCTACGCAGATCTTTTGCCTCCCGGCCTCCCTCCCGACACTAACTAGGGTACGCGGCAGGCCGGGCAGCGGTATTTGGGTTTCTCCAAGCAGACCACGCAGACGACGGTTCTACAATTGAGCGACGTCATGGCGCGTCTCTCCGAAGACTAGCTGGGACTCACGCGTCCTCTGCACTAGCCGATTCTAAGCTCACGCCTTCTTTTCGTTTCCTAAAGCAGAACCAATCAGCGCTCAGCGCTCAATGGAAGACAAAAGCAATGGAATGATCCCGCTCGTTGTTCCAGCCCAGTCACGTAGAACGTCGATGCACTCGATTTACATCTGCTACTTAGTTTGGAGGTTTCCCTGATTAAGTCACAGCGTCAAAAACTTGCTAAGTAGCTCTGCCCACGCCCCGCAAGTAAAGTGAGTGAGTGACGCTAAATGATCTTTAAGGCGCTTTCCAACTTGGACTTTCTGAATCTTCGCGGGCAATGGGTTCTCCCTCTAACTGGTTGTTGTTAAGTGCCGTGGAGTTGGTTTCGACTCATAGCGACCCTGTATAGAGTTTCCAAGGAGCGGCTGGTGAGTTTGAACTGCCTACCTTGTGGTTCAAACTGGTAGTCATTAAGAGCCCTCGAGCGGGTTCTGATTCATAGTGACCCTGTATAGGATTACAAGGAGAAGTGGGTTTGACAGTTAACAGTTCAGTGCTTATCCTATAGTGCCACACCAGGACTCTAGATACAAGCCACAGCAGACTGGGCTAGATCAATCGGCACACAGGGCCTTGCCCTGCCCTGCCCTGCCCTGCCCAGTCTCTGCTATTTTTCACAAAGGTAAGAAAAGCAGGGTTCCTTCCCTGGCAAATGTTTATTGAGCGAGTCCTAAGGCTAGGAACAGTCCCCACAATTTCCATCTCCTCAAAAGCTCAAAGGCATCCAAACCATACTAATTTTCTTGCCTGCTACTCTGGAATTGGAAACTTCAGCAAAAAGAGGCAGCTCCTAGGGTTGTTTCCTTACACACCCAACCAGAGAAGATGCCCCTTGTCTTCTCTGGATGGCCTCCCAGCTTGAAGGGACCTCCATGACCCTTGTCCTCCAATGCCCAGAAAAGAAGGTGGATCCAGCTATGGAAATGGTGAGGTTGGGGACCATGAAGAAGCCTAGTACCACTCCTCTGGGCAGCAGCCAGCCCAGCAAAGAAGGACGAGTATGACTCCAGGCATAGCAACTAGATGTTCATGCTAATGCGAAAGACAGAGCCCTCTGGCAGCCCTTGCTACATCCCAGCTCTTCCTGGACCCACTGGCCTGGTACAGTAGATGCCTAAGGCTGCCACGTGCTCCAGGGCACAGTGTGGAATGGCAAGAAGAGCTAGTAATTCAGAGAGAATGGATTTTGGAGATCTGTCTCCTCCCAGTTCATTCCAGGTGAAGTGAAGCCCCCACCCCACCCCCTGCTACATCCTCGGTGAGGGTCAAATGATGTGCATGAAGCCCAATGCCTACCCCCACCAGACAACCCTTCAGGTCAAGGTTGGTCCTGGTGTAGACGGGTTAGAGCTAGACGTGGCACACAGGTTTCAAGCTGCATACAGAGCAGGCCTGAAACATCGACAGGTAGCAGCAGAGGGTGTCAAGAGTGCAGACATAAGCGAGCAGGTAGGCAGGAGCAAAGTGGACACCTCTCCAGCCAAGGGCTCCACCTGCAACTGGCTGTCCAGGGGAAATTCTTTCCAGTGCCCATCACGCCTGCTTCCAGCCAGCTCAAGGAATTAGGAGGGAAGAGGAGGGAACAACCAGCTGGACACTGGCTACCCACACTGACCTGATTCAAGTTTAAGCATACTCTGGAACTTTTGAGTTATTTTTAAAAAGTTGCCCAGCACCTTCCCATGGTGTACCACATGCCTTTAGAAAATCTACTCTTAAATCTCAGCTTCTTTCTGCTGCTGTAATACCCTGTCCTTGCCTTTGGGCAAAGGGGGCCCAGGATCAGTATCAGCATCCTCTCAGACACATTTTCTGGGTTTCTACATGCTTATTGGAGTCCTGGTGTTGCGCTGTAGGTTAATGCACTGGAATGCACAGTTGGTTTGAACTGCAAGGTTGGCTGTTCGAGCTCACCAGCTGCTCCTCGTAACAATAACACATGCTTATGACTAATCCACAACTCTCCACATTTGTGAAAGTGGCATGGCAAGGCATCTGACCTCTAACTTCTCAAAGGGAAGCAGAATCAAGATCAACAGCCCAAGCTGATTCCAATGAAGCAAGATAAGCCTCTACCTTCCAATCTTTCCCCCAGTTCCGACACCAGCTGTCCACCCCCCCACCCCCACCCCACCCC